CAGTCGCTCTATAACAAACGTTTTAACAACGAACGTTAACTTCAACAATACTTTTTGACTGCAGTTCAATTACTCACTACCTACACACATTGTCCCATCACGTTGTCACCATCTTGTATATACCAGACCACCCCCAATCTAGCAAATGCTAGAGCACTCCCGAATGAACAGGATAGTTCTAGAAACATGGCGTGACACTAGTCACGTGACCTCGCTGATGCAACAATGCCTTTTAGCTAAATATGTCATTTAAATATGTTTATTAACAAAATAGTGTTATTTCAACAAGCAAATGCACACTTGACTTGTACCCTGAATTCTATGGTTACTGCACTGTTAAGTGAAAACATAGAAGTTGAAATCATTAAAGTAGTACTCTCAACTCACTGTAGAAATCAAAGGTCTCTTGGATTATGTGATTCTTAAAATTCACCACCTTAGTGACTAAAGTCACTGCAACAGTCAGCTTCATAAATAAAAGAGGAATTTGGTTGGATTTTTTTTTTCTATTTTTTACTGCAAACTTGAAAAATTATCAAACATAGTTAATTTCTGATAGGTCTAAACAATATGCTGCATTTGAAATAGAATTTAACAAAAGAATAACTGTAATTTTTATATGAGTTTTTTTTCATTTAAATATAGTTCAAGACAAGAGGATGTTTATAGATTCACATATAACAGCACAGAAAGAATACATGTCGATTTGTTGATAGACATAAAATATATATATATAATATATGTTAGGGGGTGTCAAACATACAATACATAGAAGTTTTTATGACTACCCCATGCAGTATGCCCCAGTTACCTTTAATATGGTCTGCTGCCATGTTTCGTGTAATATGATTGGCTTTTTAGTATTGAGTTATTATTGGCTCATGCTTTTGTAATACAAGTTTGAGGTTGTTTTGACCCAAGTCCACTCAGTGTGTGTGTGTTGAGTTGCCAACACAACATTGTTTTTGTGAAAGTTGTGTGTGTGTCACATATTTATGAATCTGGCTCTGAAGGTGAGAGGAGTGTATGTGATTTATGGTGTGTATTTTAAAAGCTATAATTCCAACACTACTATTTTTGTAACAAATATTTCAGTGAAGCAAAATAATTTCTTGGAAAGAATTAGCAAAATTTTGCATGCATTCAAGAGTAAAGCAAGCATTGGCTGTGTTTTAATTTGTTTTGTGATAAATTGTACATCATCATCAGCCTGGTACTAGTAACGTGTAAAGGTGTTGCAATAAATAATATGATGTAGGTACATTTTATGAATTCATTAATTATCTGCATGCCTGTCAACTTTCTCAGATAAGTTGGGAAGTTCTATTGCTTTTTCCCTTCACACGATTCTGCAATTTCCCTTGAATCCAAGAGTCAATGGATTTATTTCCTGTTGCTTACTATACTCTTGAAACTAAGCTTATATGTCTTGTTATATAAAAAAAATTGTGTAGCTTTGAAATTGATATATTTTAACACAAAAATGTTTTCATGAATGAAAATAACATATAAAAAAACTACATAAAATTCTCAGATTTGTGGTTTGTTGCTAAGTGTTATATACTACTCATTTGAATCTTTTTTTACTCTCAAGGAGCTCTGGCAACCACTATCATGAGAATCCACAAGTTGCCATTCAAACTACTTTATTTACTATATGTTGATGTAGATAAATTAGAAACTCTTCTATCCAACTTTTTCAGCCTTTGGCTCTAGCTATTTTCAAAGATGAGCTTTGTAAGTAATTGTTCAAACCAAATGTATGTGACATCATAACTTTGGCAAGAAAGGGCTGTAGTAATTGTTGTTAATGTTAAGCACAAAGCTACATAATGGACTGATTATCTGTGATGTACCCATCGCAGGTGTTGGAACCTGAGTTTTAATGCAACAAGCCTTCAGAGTTACCACTCTGGGTGTATGGGGGCATGCTTTAGTAATAAAACCACTGAGAAAGAAGGAAAATATCATGAAAAACAAGACATAAATCATTCTCTTTGCAAGTTATGATAACTTGTAATATTTCTGAGAACATTTTGCATAAATTACAAACACTTCAAACCTGAACGTTACAAATAACACTGAATTACTGCTTGAGTCAGCCATTGTAGACTTTTGACAAGAAGAAGAGAACTGTTTAGTGTTTAAGATATACAACTATGAGCTCCATAGTGTAAAGAATTTTTGTACATAAATTTAACTTGTTTTGAATATATTATTTTAAAACAAGTGAAGTGTGTGTTGTGTGTTTATTTTTCTAATATATTGCCAACGAGTTGCAGACACCTACTGTAGAAGAATCCTTGACACCCATTCATAAAGTTCTGACAAAGACATTAGGTTTTGCAAGTGAAACTTGAAAGGACATATTGCCCAGAAGTGCAGACAAAAGCCTGTAGGAAATAAATACTCCTCCCAAAGGATGTTAGAAAAAGGGAACTATTATAAATATGGGAAACATGGCTATTACAGCTGAGACAATAAGAAATCAGCAAATGTTAAAAACCTAGGGAGACGATATCCTAAGGATGAGTTTGGAGCTAAACCATATCAAAGGAACAATAAAATGCTAACTAAACTCTGGAAAACAGGAATTAGCTGAACTTATGGGGCAAAGCTCACCTGAGAATATTCCATCTGCATCAATTGAGGTATCAAGTTCATTATTTAAAGAAACAAGTCCAGGAGTTAACAGGTCTGTTGATGGGAAGCATTGCAGTGGCATTACAGCTACAATTGCTGGATCTTATTTGGTAATGAGAAGAGGGAAATTGCCTTCATCAATGAAGAAAGAAGTAGTATTAATGTGAACAGCAAGTGGACATAGAGTTCCAACCTATAACAAACATTCTTGATTATTGAAGAAATAAATTAGTTTATCATTATGTGAGCTGGACTTGGCATTATTTTTAATAAGTAATCCATAAGAACCTGACCAGTGATAGAACACACTTCAGTATTGTGTAGAAAGTAGCTTAACACAAGTCTCCAACTGCACACGAATTGCAGTTATTGGTATTGAATCGAATTTTACAAATCTTTTCTGATTATCACTGAAACAAAATTGAAATAAATAGAATATAATTTTCTTTTTTTGCTGAACATGACAAAACATCCATTGAGTAGTTTCTATTAGTTTTGTTACTTTTTTACTATCTTTTATAATATTTATTGTTGTTTAAATGTGTGTTCTGTTTTTATTCAGTGATATTGAAAAAAAATGGAAATGGGTACAATATGAAAATTATTCAAGAGAACAACTCTTTCTTTATTAAATTAGTTCTGGTTAATACACAGACAAAAGACAGATAAAATATATATATCTTGCTTGTATGCAGTTATTTCTTAGTAATTTTTTAGTTGATTTTTAAGTTATTGTACAAAAATGACCATAATGCATTTCTTAACTTGTAGATATTTTGAGGAACTTGGTTTTATCTTTCTGTATAGTAGAATGTCATATACTCTTGCATGCCAGTGTTATTACAAATATCTGTATCTGGGGAAAATGTATATATAACTCAAATACTAATTTTAAATATTTTAATCTTTACATACATATAAAACCATTTTTTTTTGTTAAAACGTGGAAGTAATTGTATAGAATTTTCCATGATCACTTCCTATAGTATATGAGTGAGAAGATTGGTGGAGCAGAAGGCACGAAGTTTACAGAAGAGTATATGGAAATGGAAAAGGTTAGTAATTTTGTTCATATGTAGGTCAGTCATGAGGCAAAGCACTAGAAAACAAGACAGTGTATGTAGGTTGTTTAATTAATCCTTTGAAGACCTCTGCATGTGAATTTTTTGGTGAAATTTTGTATATATTGCAAAGCATTTTGCTTGTACTTGTAAATTCAACCAACATTAAATTTTTTTAAAGATCCTGTTTTTCACATATTTACCATATATCAAATTTTATATTTCTGGCACAAACATTACCATCATATTTTTGTTATAAAATTAATAATACAAACTGATTTTACCATTTTAATAAAGTTTAGCAGATGTAGATCTATACCAATTTTTGTGAAGATGGGTAAACTTACAGATGACCTTTTTTAAAATATTTTTCTGTTATGCTCTTTGCTGAATTCTTGGTTGAAAATGAAGTATCATCATGTACAATGTGTTTAGAAATGCAACCAAAACTTCAAATGATTCAAACACTGATCTGTTTGTATTACAATCAGAAACATTGCAGATAGCAAATAGTTACAAAACCTGTTATAGATACACTAACAAATGGAAACTGTATTATTGAAACACCACACATTTCTAATATCCATATGACTTGCTTTAAATACTATTAATATAATTTATTTAAAAAGAAACATGAAATTTTGGACACATCACCATGTTTATAATAAATCTTTATGAAAGTAAAAAAATAAATAAAAATACTCAAACCATAATTTTCATCACATAAATCTGTATTTCGACATGTCCGTGCACACACACACACACAACACGTGAGTGTCTTATACACAAGTGTTCTCTTTGTACTTCTTGATAATGTTTTTAATGCAGTACTAAATTACAATTTAGAAAACTTCTGAGTAAACAACTCTGTATACATTTATGGTAATGCAAGAACAGTTGCTGCTTTCAGCATGTGATTTTTCTAACAAAAGAGGTTTTTTTTTCAAGTTGGTACCCTACGGATAAGACGTAGTAAAGAGTGTACGTTATGTTAAGTTTTCGGGTCAGCCAGCAAATGAGGTCATATTGAAATGTTTTCATGTCTGCCTTTATATATTTCCAATGAATGTCTAAATAAAGCACAACATCATTTGAGTTTGACGTTAAGTACTAAATAAATAATTAAAATACTAAACAGCAGTTAACTAATTCTTACCGTGCATCTGTATCTTCAAAACATTGACAGATGGTACATTATGTACCTACACATATATATAACTTTAGTAAAAGTAATGTTGTGCTTTTTTTTTCTTCTCATACACAAAGTGAATTGTACTTGTTTCATTTTTTGGAATTTTTTTTCTTACTTGAAGCTGACTTTAAGCAGTTTGGATTTGCAGTTTTTACATTAAAGATCTTTAATTTTATGTAATGTAGTTCATGTGGAACATTTATGTGTAAATTCTTGGAATCTTTATAATTGCAATACAGTTTTTAATTTTTAACTTGTAACTAGTGTGATTTTGATGCATATTTTCTAACAGAAAAGACATTGTATTATAGTTAAGACAAAAACATATTCACATTTGTCACACTTGTTATCTAACGATAAAATTAAAGATAAAGCTGAAATTATTACACTTTTAGGCCATTTGTGTTTACTAGAGTGTCATTTTAACATTTTTTAGAGAGTGTCAAAATAACATTCATAAACTATATATTGCAGTAATAGCCTTATTTCAAATAATCACATCTAAGAAAAATTATAAATAAAAAAGGTCATGCATGCAAGCCTACTTAAGTGATTGAACAAGTTCAGAACTTTTTTCAATATCCCTTTGACTCCAATATCTGAAGTTTACCTGTTTAATAGTCAGAAACTCCAAAAGGATGCATGAAACTGCAAGGGAGAATTTCTCATGACATTATCCATAATGTGTCAAATAAACTATTTTTCCTCAGCTTTGCTTCTATTCCTTTAAAATATATGTACATGTTTTTGCCTATGAATGGATAAGAGAGAAATGTTTTAGTGCTGCTAATACTTCAAATATTTGAGTGTTTTCACTGTGACTGAAACATGTTTTTCAACACCAGAAATGTTAGTTACCAGTAATTACTTTCACTTGTCAATTTTGTGTATCATCTGTTTTGCTTCAACTTCTTATGGGCAAGCCAATGTAGGACAGTTTTTTTTTCATAGGAAATCAGTGATTGTTTGTTAGAGTATTTTAAACAGTTTTATGTTGCTAACAAAATATGCATAAGTATTGAAATTTATACACACACACACATAAACATATATATATATATTTACTGTTTGCAATCTTACATGTGTTGTCTTGTTGTCTCAAACACATTAGAGACAGAGATCATAAAATTTCAATACCAGAGTTTTATCAGTGAGCATATCAGTTATTTTACATATTTCAACCATAAATCTCTTGGAAAAACAGGCTTGCTATATATTCTATGAAATTTTTGAAATGTGTTACTGAAGGACATTAATAAGTTTTTTAGACTTTTGCAGATGCTTAAAAATACTTGATCCAAATGCAACAGCATACTTCCATTTGTTACATGCCAAATAAGCTCATACTGCTTTTTGAATTTGCTTTCTCTTAAGATATGTTTTTTAGGAATAACTTATAAACATGGCTTTTGTTTTGATTTTGTAGATTTAAATCTGTTTGAATTATATTGTTAAGAGTTACCAGGAAGATTACATTAGCTACAACAGACCTTTGTATTCTTGATTTAATACTGGTGACAAGCTGATTAACATTCTTCACTACCTCAAGTGTGTGACTAAGTTGTAGACATTTATGGAGTAGCTAATTTTTTCTACGTTGAATCATTTTCTTTGCATTAACAATATGCTTCAAATCAAAGATGTATTTTTCTTAAATACTAAAATACTTACTTTTATAATCACAGAATAGGAGAACTTTGTTTCAAAAGTTGTATAATATAACCTTCCCAGAAAGGGTTAATTTTAGGAGCCATCTGTACAAACAAACCACCAAACTTCAACTAAATTGCAATAACAGAATCACAGTTTTTATTCTGTGCATTGAAATGATTGTGTTTTTATGTAATATACCAGCCATTCATTTATTAACATGTTTACACTCAATATTGTTAACTACTTAACTGTACACTCTTTCACCTGTTTGTTTAATAATGCCCATATGCTTACCTGTTTTTATTACTGATAGACATTACCCATTTATTTAATACTAACTATGTGTTTACTCAGTTTTGTTAATTGAACATTTACTTAGCTCTTCTTAACTGCACATATTTCCATTTTGTTAATTGTTAATCATTTTTTCATTTATGTTTAACTGTATAAGTCATCCATTCATTTATCAAAATATAGAGCTGGGAAATTAGTGGAATTTGATAATTGATTAATTGTCAGGCTCACTAATTGATTACAACTAATCAATTATTCTCACTGAACTCGGATAAGTGTAATAATTGAAAACAGTAATAATCACAAACACTAATTTTGATTTAGTTGATTACTTTTTTGACATTAATTAATTTAATCATAATTTTAATTTTTTATTGATTATTTTATACCACCAGATGTACTACATGTGCCATTTTTATGTTCTGCCTACTTTTTTTTAATACTGCTTGTTGTGAACTTCTGTTTTATATATCTGCCCATTCACTGTAAACTTTTATCATTTTCACTTTCTAATTTATAGTGAAAGTCTACTGTCTGGAGGGTATTTTAATGCAATAATTTAACTTATTAATAACATAAGAGAATTGAAAACATTTTCTAGTAAATTTGCTTGATGAACTAATTTGTTTTGGTGTGGCTTACTAGAAAACAGATTTGATGAATGAGTTAGTGGAAGAACTGATGACAAAAACAAAGGAATTTCTTCAACCCAATCCAGGTATGTATAAAGTGTGATTAGACTATTCATGCACTGAAATAACATTGAAACTTCCACAGGTATTTTAGCTGAGAAGAAGTCTCAGCTGATGTTAGGTTGAAATAGTTGTACAGGTCTCAGAAATCTCTCCATAATTTGTTTTAAATTGTTGTGAATAATCAAAGCAAGAGTGTACTACCAGATAGCAGCAAGTTCAAGCCCATGCTTCTTTCAAACCATATGCAAGTTATTGTTAAACCAAATGTAGTATAATTAAAGAAATGATTTGTGAAGTTGAATACTTGTGCAACCAATCTTTTAGAAAGAACGAAGTTTTGAATGCCACAAAAGATGTATTTAGTAGAAACTTTACAACTGCCCAAATCTTTCTTTATTAAATGTGAGAATATTGATATTGGTAATAATTATTAAATGATATGAATAAGGATTAATGTGTATTTATTTAATAATTATGATAATTATATATGTATGCATATAATATGAAAGTTGTGTGATGGTACATGCATTATATCATGCATAAAATAAAAAATGTGCTAGTAAAGACTTTTAATGTGTTTGCATTTGAAATGAATGTATTCAGTTAATCTTTTGATTGTAAATTTTACATCTTTTTTTATGATATGTAAGATTGCACAATCACATTAATTAGTAACTAGAAAGTAATGTTTTCCAACTTTCATAAGTAATAGTAAAGCTAATTATATATCATCAGGGTTCTCCTCAGCCACCCTTTTTGGGACCACTACACTTATTTTTGCTGAAATGATTTCATGTGCTCTGATACTCTAAAATATATTCCCAACATTTCTTTTTTGACAGGTAACTGCACTCCCTAATCAGCTATTTACCATGTGCCAAACAAGTGTTTTTTGGTTTTACATATGCCAAATGTAGTCTACACTATTTACATGTATCTGGCAAAGTAATATAAGAAGAGTTCAAATGCTCATCATCTTGGACACACTGACTCATGTTGTTTATACCTCTGTATTTTAAGGCCTAAATCAGCTCATTCATTGCACCAAATAAAACCATGTGCTAAGCATATTATTCTGTAACTACTGACACACATGCAGAAGTTTTTTATTTTCACCATTAAAAATATAACTAATTTATTGTTTCACACATAACCATCTTCAAATAAAATCATAAAATAGTAGGATTTTCATCCAGTTTCCATTTTGCATCTTCCTAGCATCAATTTACACCTGACCCATATTAGCAGGTAATTATTGTCCACATAAATTTTGTCCTATGTATATGTAGAAGGCTATGATTGGCTCTTAGTGTCAAAAATGTACCAGATTTTTTATATACATTTTAGCTTTGATGTGTGATGCAGATTTTTAGCCTCAGATTGCAAGAAATTGCATTATTTTACATTCAAAAATTCAACATTTTCTGGGGGAAAACATCTCTGAACTTAATGTTTTACTTTACTCATATGTCCAGGTCCTCCAATGGGACAGTGGTAAGTCTTTAGATTTACAATGCTAGTAGAATCAGGGTTTGATTCCTCTCAGTGGACAGAGCAGATGTCTAATATGGCTTTGCTATAACAAAACACAAACATGCATGTCCAGTAGAACTTGAAATTTTGGTTAACAGATGTTTTTTCAACAAGATCTTGGTTTTCTACAATAAAGCTGTAAGGACTCAGCATGTTTATGAACAGCCTAGTGATACTTCATATGAACTCCCTTTTAGTCATCTTTGATTTGTTTTTATGTATAAAAGTAGAGTACATATTTCATGCAAAAGAAAAGTCAAGCAGATGATGTTCCTGTATTTAGTCTGTATGTTTATACAAAGTTAATTTTTGTATTTCTAAAGTTTTTAGGAGTATTGGAAAATGACCTTTTGCTAAAGACGTGCAATTTGGAACCTAAAATAAGATGTGTTAGTCCTAATAAATGTGTGTAAGCAGAAAACCTGCTGGTGAAGATCTTTATTTAGATATCAAAATGTTTCTTTTATATTGTATGTTGTTTTCAAATTTAAAGAACTAAATTCCTTGTTTAACTGACTTTTAAGTTTTTTTAGAGATGAATATGGAGATCAAATTGGAAGAATGATAGCTAACTTTTAGAAAGTGGTGAAATTTGCTTCATTTTCAAATAATTGGTAAATGTATAAGAAAATACTTCTTGTTTGTAAGATAACTGTAACTTAATTTTCAAAATGCAGCTACAGCTGCTTAACTTTTCACATTGAGCATTTGTAGCTGCTTTTTGAAAATTATATAAAAAAGCAATGTTTTAACCATTTGGTTTAATAACAAATTGGTAAACTTCATTTTATTAAAGACATTGATGTGCCACACTTGCTATACTTTGATAAAAATTATAAGGGATACCTAAAAATGCATTGAATCTTTATGTGCAGTTTGAGTACATTTATTACTTTGTGTTGATGTATATAATCCCTGAGCAGGGCATAAGCTGAACCTCCTGGAAGCTTTGCATTGAAGAGGCTCAGAACAAAACAAATTGAACCCTGTTCAGTGATTTTTAATTATTTTTGTAATTATTTCACTGGTATATTACAAAAAGTGAAGAGTTGTACTTTTAGCTGTATGCTAAAAGAAATATAAAAGCATCTTTTTAACTTACAGTGTTACAATTGAAGTAAACATAAGAAGTTTCAGTTTCTTTTTTGATCAACAGATTGTTACATTTTTGCCTTTTTATCGTGGTTCTTGGTTGGCCTTCAGACATTTCCAAAGCATTTTTTTATATAAACTTTTTTTCTTTTTTGAGCTTTATTCAAACATAAAGCTATTAAAAAATAACTTTCTTGTTTCATTTTTTTAATGGTTTAAATGGAAATGGGTAAACCCTTTTTCATTGGAAGTTTATAAAGGTATTTTTACATAGTAAATGTGCAAAATCAATAAAATATGTTCTGAAGTTGTCAGAAATGGTAAGAGACAAATAAAAGACTATCAGCTAAAGATGGAAAGAAAACATGATATTACAGAAACAGTATCTATTACTATTGTCTAAAGTTCTGAAATTTTAGGGTAAGCCTAAGCTCATTGCCTGAACTTGGTACAAACTGTTGTTATAAATGACCTAGATTAGTCACTGTTAAATATAAATATAATTGAGTTTAAAGAGATCCTTGCATCAGTGTCTGCTACAAACTGAAGGCTGTATGGACATAAGTGGTGTTTTGTCTTTGTGTTTAGTAACTGAAAATATAATGTAATGTTCATAATGGGATTATTGTTTTATTACTCTTGGAATAATGGTAAAGTGGACGTAACAGGATTTTAATCTTAGTTTTCACTAAGTGAAAGCACTGATGACCTAGTCAGATTTTCTCTTAGTGTCCAGTAGCTTAAAGCATAATAAATGCAGTAGGATTATTATTTTAGCATCTAGTAGTTTAAGTCATAGTGGATGTAATGGAATACTTCTCATGTTTCTATTATCTAAAGGTATAATGAATACATTGTGGATCTTGCCAAAGTTTCTAAAAGTCATAGTGGAGTTTCATGATATCTTTGTTTTAACATCTTATAGAAGTATAACTTTTCTTGATGCTTTTCATAGTTTACTGTTTTCAACTTATGCATGAACATCATAGTTTCAATACTACATAGAATATACTGACAGAGCTTGGTATTGTTAAATACTTAATGAGAAAGCATTTTCTGCTTGTTACATATACATGCAACTTGTCCTGGTTTCATTGCAAATTCTGCTACGTCAGTTCACTTAAGCTACATTGCAGAATCAGTCTTCATAATGTAACCAGATATGTACTAGGGCAAATATTTTCATGAGATAATTATTTTATTATCCATTATACATAAATATTGTACAGAGAATGTATAATAGCAGAGTTAAAAATAAATGTTATATGTATAAGTATTTGTTGAAATATTTTCCATAATTCAGTGGTTTTAACAATAATAAAAAATGTTTTTATATACTTAATTGAAGTTACCATTAATAATTTATAACATTTCTTGTATTTGCTTATGCTATATTGTTTTAAAAAAAAGGTATTAAAGTTGTTAAATATCTAAAATTACTGGTATTATGTAAGTCGTTTACTCTGGTGACTTGTCTTTATGAAACGTTTGTTGTTACTTCACTGATATTATAGTCTTATGATACTCCATTAGATAAGATAAGTTGGAGGATTCTATTTAAGGGTGAAGAAACATTATATTAGTTATATCAGACGTTTCCTTAAAGTATTCAGTTTGTTAAACAATTCCTTTTAAGATGTCTAAAACATGTGCCAAAATAGGAAATCAGAATAAATTAAATTATATTAAACTTACAAGCTCTTCCTTTAAAACAGCCTCCAGGGCAAAGATGATGGTTAGTTCTAAATTTTGTGGAGCAGTCAAGACCCATAATTATCCTCAGCCAGAAGGAATTCTAGGAGATGAGATGGTGAAATATGGCATGAATTATGGTGAAGACACCTCATTTGGTAGGTCAGAAAATCTGCCATTTCATGGTGCATCATGAATAAGCTGTTTTTCTTCTACATTGAAAACACACATACTTAGTTTATTCTATATAAAAAAGAAAGAGTAGTTAGTTTATTAGTATTGAGACATTTCACATTTGGTATGCTTTATACATTTGTGTTATTAAAATGTTTCAATGGAAATAGTTATAAAATTTCTTTTTCTCAGATTAGAACCTGGAAATAATTGGATATTCTAGGTTTTACTCACATGCAGGTAGTAGCTATTACGAAAAGTGTGATGTCAATGTTAATTCATTTATATCCATGTGCTTAGTGAGTCTTTGTAAATGTTATTTTTGTTTTTAGCACCAGCAGTAAAGTTATAAGAGGAAAAGTTTCAGTATGGTAATTTGACAATTTTGAGTACTGAGTTAATGGAAGGCATGAGTGTACTGAAGTGCTTGTACAGTTTAAGAACTTTTTCATTGCCGCATTTTCTTCTGTATATATGTAATGTTCAATGACTCCAGAAGGATGCATTAAGCATCTTGGAACATTTCCTACAATTCTTCCAATGAACAAAATATTTTCATCAATGTTGCACTCATTTAATACTGTATAGTTCTGGGTAATCTTTTAAATTTTGTATAATTTTTAAAGCTTCAAGAGATTATTCAAGTGCTTTTTAAACATTTTTTAAATTGCATCCTTTTAGAAAGAATCTCAAACTGTGTTTCAGAAGTTACTAGTGCTGCATTTTTCTGTTCAATCTGGTTGATAAAAATCAAATGTATATTCAGGTAGTTTCTCTGTATTCTTAAAACATTTAGTAGTGCAAAATTATGAGACTTTTCTGCTTGATAACATTACATAGATGATAGAAAACTTTAGTTTTTAGTCAGATACATAGTATCATTCAGAATTAAATTAAGTTTGGTTAACTTAGTTGGTTAGACTGGAATAAAGAATAATGTTCATTATTAAATTATCATTTGTGCAAAGTTTGTTATTGTGTATTGGTATAAAATGGATGTTTTTTATAATCAGGTATTTAATTTGTTTACAACAATATTTCTTTAAAATAAAAGGGCTGCTTATTTGAAAAATTCACTGAATATATGGCCGAGTAGTTTGGGATTTTTTTTAATACTTATGTTAGTGAATTTGGTTAGTAAAGAGTACTAATAAGTTTTAACTATTGGATTGTATACTAGTTACGTTTAGGTGAAGTAAAATCAAGTACATTTACATTACTTGCACTAGCATATACAGTGCTTTCTTGTATTTTAGGCAAGAGTCTAATACAAGCAGGGGAGGCATTGAAACAGATGGCAGAGGTACGATATGCTCTGGAGGACAACATGAAACAAAACTTTCTGGAACCTCTTCATCAACTACAGACGAAAGATCTGAAAGATGTTTTGGTATGAAGTGGATATTTTCATTTTATTTGTCAGTATGAAAACAATTTGAAGAAATAGACTGCCTGGAGACTAAATACTGTTAAGGTTTTCTTTTTACATTTTAACCTTTGCTTCAGTCATAAAAGTTTTTATTGGCTTCTTAACTAACTTACGTGATGTTAAGAGTAATATTTTGGAGGTTAGTTTCATTCTCTGGAGATGTGTCTGTATATTCTTTAATTTTGGAAAGTCTTTTTTTCTTGATTGAGAAAACAGGAAATGGTGTTGTAGGTGTACTTGAAGAGATTTGTTGAAAAGAATATAAGAAATTTAAAAACCAGAAATTGAAAGGAAAACTAAACTATAATAGGACTATGGAATTAAGTATGAGCTCTTACTGTTTGATTTCTTTCTTTTATGTTTTTTTGGGGGGGGGGGGTTAATTGTCTTTTGTTCTGTAAATTTAAAATTTATTTTAGAGACTTGGAAAAGGAAAAGTATTGATTTTTGTTTAAGGTTTATAACAAAAAAGGAAAAACGTTTTTAGCTGGTTGTTTATTTTCAGCATCACAGAAAGAAGCTTCAAGGGAGAAGGCTAGATTATGACTGCAAAAAAAGAAGACAAACCAAAGGTATTACCCTTAAAAAGTTTTGTTGGATTGTCTCTAAGTCTTGTCTTTTGATTAATCAGCATCACTTTTATTAGTTTTTTTTTCTCATAAGCAATAAAATATATTATGTATAACAAAGTTTATGTTGGATAGGAATTCCTTCCCCACTATTTATGAGCTTGTTTGATACTGTAACTATAGATAAATTAAGTTTCTTTTTATTTCCATTTAGAATAAACATATTTTTCATAAAATTTCATATGCTCTTAGAAACTGTGTTCTCAAAACATTGAGATATTTTTTTGCAGTACCTGATTGTTTTGTGTTTTGTGCTATATGCTTGGTGTACATTATTTAAAACTAAAAACTTAATATTTAAAAAAAATCAGCAAACAACAAATATGACAGTAAATGGTACATTCATATGTAGAAATTAAACCACATCCTCTGCTATTAGACCATAAAAATGAGTACTTAAAGAAAAATTACCTAGGACAAATTTTCAGTATATATACACAAAAATTATATGAAGCTTTTTCAGGTGTCATTTTTTATCATTGAACCTATTTAGATAGATCAGTGGAAATACATTAGTGATAATACATTTAAAAGCTGTAGTTCTAAAGTGGGAAATTATGTTTTCATAATTATTATTATTTGATGCACTTTTTGACTTTACAAGTATTTTAGTTACTATCATTCACTGTTGTCAGTGTTATGAATAAACTGTTTATTATTATTATGAGAAATATTTCACTCTAATAATGTGCAGTATTTTTCATGAGTATAGTGAGCCATTAAATTTATGATGCTAGAAACTACAGAACTGAAAGTTGAATGAATTATGAGTGGTAGATGTAACTGGAAAATTGTTACTATTCTTCCCCAGTGAATTATGTGTAAACATGGTTCTCCTGATGAAGTACTCAGCATAAAGACTGAAACCAAGCAAAAAGAGCAGATAAACTTCATGAAAATTATAGTCCATATATTAAAAAGTGGTTGCATGAAAATAATTTTAAAGGGAGAAACTTCCCTACTCCAAATTATACAAACTACTGGTGTGAAACTTCATAATTGATCATGTTAGGCTGGTAAGAGCTAAAGTTGATGTTCACTTTTGATATAATATGGGTTACCCAATGTGAGTCATAATGTTTTAAAATAAAACTGTCATCTTTGTAGTGCCAGGCATGGCCTGTAGTTAGTGTGTTGGACTGTAAGTTTGAAGGTCCATCGTTCACATAACATTGTTGCACAATCACTCTCTTGTTTGATGCCGTGGTTGTGTTACAAGAGTGACAATCAAATCACACTCGTTAGTCAAATAAGAGTGGCTTAAGAATTGGCAGTGGGTGGGGTGCTCTTGACTAGCTGCCTTTCCTCTAATATGTCAGTTCAAAACTAAGAGATGGCTAGCACAAATAGCTGTGTAGCTCTTGTAAATGTCCAAACCAAATCAACAATCAACTTGTATTTTTGTATTAATGCAGTTCCTAAGTATTTTTTCAGTAAGACACTATCTCATCATTGCAGACAGTGCTCATAAATTGTTTTATTGCTGGCTTGTGAGAATATTGAGAAATCAATTTGTGTTGCATGTGTGTGTGGTCAATATATTTTTGTACATTCAGTTAGAATGCTCATATTTTATGTGATGATAAATCTAATGGTTTCTAGATTATGATTGAAAGTTAATGACAACATTTGCCTAAAATATTTTGTTTTTATTCTTATTTGGTGTTGAATTAGTTTTAAAAGAGAAAAATGGAGTGATAGACTTTTTTTATCTTTACTTTATTACAAGGTTGTTGTGTTAAAGGTAAAACAATAAAAACCCCGTAACCCGAGCACTTTTGAAACGTGGGCCTTGTCCCTGAAGAAGGAAGGTCCACCTTTTGAAAGTGCTTGGGTTAAAACGTTTTTATTTTATATTAGAACTTCTTGAACTTGTATGTTTTTCTGACATCATGAATGTGTTAAAGGTAAAATGTTTCATCAACAGATTTATGATTTATATATTTTAATCTTGTTAAATCATTAAATTTCACTGTTAAATAATTAACAGTGTAAACGTTATTACTCAGAGTACTGGAACAGTCATTAATGGGCCTGTTCCCACTGAATTTACTTAAGAATGCTGAGTTGCACTGTTACCTGGGGCTTGTAAAGCAGTGAACTTGAATCAAAATACCAAAAGGAGCTCATGAACTTTTAAAGAATGGGCTTTGGATGCATCATTGGTGGTATGACTGATTGAGAAATTTAGCCCACATGCTTTTATCTGTCTTTGCCAGTGGATAATGTGCTAAAGAAATGGAAGACCATTGGAAGTATTATTGTAGAATATCCAGTATACCAAAAAAATTAATCATTGGTCTTTGTGAATTTTAAGATGTATCTTTGAATAAAAAATACATATCTCGTACTAAATCCATCATCTAAGACTGTAATAAAAATTCAAGACTGCAGTGATTGTTGGCAAGTGTTAGTAACAAATGTTGGGTTCTGATTAATGGTGAAACACCCCACTCTTGTTGTTTCTTAAGATGTGCTGTCCCAGCATGTTTGGTAAGGGAATGTAGGAGTAATTTTGAAAAGAAATAGTCTAAATATTTGTGTTATTTCTGTGTACTTCAAAGTTTAAAACACGCTTGATCGTAGTAGTAATAATTTAAACCAATAATAGGAAACTTATTCCATAGATATGTGTACATATTCTTGATATTATAGGTCTCAGACATATGTGATACAAAAATGTACCCAACTTCTATACAGATTCATATACCTGATTTTATAAGTTTAGACCAATCAGTCATGTTTTTAATAGTTCATACAACTGTAGGAAAAATATTGAATAACCTTTGCATGTGTTTGCTGATGTTACAGGTTTACACCAGTCTCAAAAACTTTTTTCCTTGAAATTCGCACACTAGAGTTAGAAATTGTAATTTTATTCAGGTATAAGCTGCCAATTAAAACAAAAGCAAGTTTGAATAATGACAACTAATTATAAGGTCTTTTGAATGAAATAGTAAAATGGTAAGTAATGTCACATAAAAAAAATATCTTTTTTTGTTATGTGGATGTGAAATGTATTATTTGTATTTTAAAACTGATTTTAACCAGTGTTTTTCATTACTAAACGTTTGATATAATGAAGTTTAAATTAATTCTGACTTTACTGTAGCAGTCACATTTGTTGTGTTGTGTAGCACTGTGTTGTTAATCCACAGTGTCTTCTATACACATAACTTGCACATTATAAATTGAAAGCCTTTCAATAAAACTTTTTATGAGAGGTGAATATTTAGTGTTTTTTTTAATATTTGTTACAATTTTATTCCATTCTAAGTGCTTTCTGCCATATGTTCATTTGGTATTTTTAAGTAAAGTTTTAACTTTACTAAAAGGTTAAAAAAACAAAAAAAAGATTGAATATATGTTTTCAACCATGAGTTTTCTTGTCCTTTTGTTTATTTTAGCTGTATTTTATGTATTCTTGATCATTATATTTCTTAACTGAAATCTTGATAATCTGCTATCCTTGAGATGGCACATACATCTACCCAGGGGGAACTTGCACTGTGTTTTTGAATATATCATCCAGTTTTGAAGATACATCAATAAAAAGTGGCTAAGCTCTTTTCTAGTGCAATTGTTTTTGAAATTTTAATTTCAATTTAGTTTTTGGTGGAAAATATAAATTGATCTTTAATATAACGTTAACTAGATTAGAGCTACACCAGAATGCTTACTAGTTTTATTTAGTGTGGTATAAAATCTATAATATGAGATATGGAAAATGTAATATGTTGTTATGGTCATTAAAAAGTGGAAATATGCTACCCAAAAGTAATAAATATTTTGTTAATAGAAAGGTCAGTTGCTACTTTTTTACCCCCCATAGCTCAATGGTAATTTTTATAACCTTATACTACTTAAAAGCAGACAAACAAAGTTTTTTTTTTTAAAAAAATTCACTATTCCTTGATTGTTGATTTCCAAAAATGGTCCCACCAGAAGAAAGCTTAGACTTTTGTCTGGTAGATTGTCTTTTTTTTTCATTGAGGCATTTTTACAAAGTAATGAGACATTCCAAAACATTAAGAAGACACAACAGGCAGGTGTATTTGATATCTTAGATGATACTAGTCAATCATGCTTTTACCAAATTTTGCACAAGCTGTTTGAAACAAATTCACTTATATGAAATAATTTTTGAACAGCTGAGTATTGCAGTGTTGTGCTAATTCAACTCTTTGATGTAGCTAGGTCGATAATGAGGAAAGTTCGATGACGAGGAACCCACTTTGAGACTAATAATGGCTGGAGATGGCTTGAATGGGTAATGAAGAAAAACTTTAATATAACAGCAAATGTACAACGTTTCGACAAGGTTTTGTCATCATCATCATCTGATAATGACAAAACCTTGTCGAAACGTTGTACATTTGCTGTTATATTAAAGTTTTTCTTCATTACCCATTCAAGCCATCTCCAGCCATTATTAATGAGGAAAGTGTTACATCCAATTGGACTTTATACACCCCCCCCCATATTATATATATATATATAATTATATAATTAAAAAAGAAAAAAAAGAATAGCATGAACTTAACACAGTATATTCAAACATTAGATGAAAAATAATTAATTGTAATATTACTTAGAAAATGAAAGCAAAAGAGAAAATATTTTCTTTTTTGCTTTCATTTTCTATGCAGTATTACAATTAATGATATATATATATATTTATTTGAGCTGAGAACCAATTAGTGAGGATTTTGTTTACCTACACAGTCAGTCTTGTTGAAAGAAAATGACAGTCTGGCAATATTGCTAGAATTTATACTTAGGTTTCGTTAATCCCAAATGCCTCTTGAGCTAACGATGGTTTGGTTTGTCAGAATGCTGCTATTATGAAATATTCAAAGCAATTTTCCCCTATCCCAGTGGACATATCAAATTAATTTGAATAACCTTTTCCATCACTAATCTAACTGGGCTGAAGAGAGAGAGAATTCAGAACTTTGGTACTCAACTGATTAAGATATATGAGCAAACATGTTTCACATTTAATGTGACAAGAATGTCATAATACCTGGTGACCTTGTTGACCTTATACAAACTCAACATTCGACTAAACTGGCACATGTAAGAACATTATTTGTCTGGAGTATTCAGTAAGTTTGTGAACATTTATTTTTTTGACTGACATCTGTGTATAACCAGTCCTTAAGTGTTAATCAAGTAGTAAAACACGTGTGAACTGCGTGGTAACCTGTGTAGTAAATTGTTGTGCTGCTGTTTTTTTTCTTTTCTATACGTTCATCTCTACAAGTTGGAGGTTCTTCCCCAAGAACAAAGCAAGGTAGGTTTGAATGATAGGATTGCAAGTTTTCATTAGACTTTTTACTGGTTTTGAACAGTTGATATAACATTACTTATACTTAGATAGCTGTTATTACTACTTGTGATTCACGGAATAAATGTTTAACACAAGTTTATCTTCTGCATCATAAAATATACATTGTACAGTAATGTATGATCTAGCAGTAGTAACTGTGAATGTGTGATATTACCTTAGCTGACACAGAAAATGAGAAGTTGTCATTTTTTGTTTCGTATTATTAATGATGAAAAGTACTTCAGTATATACAGAGGAAAATAGTTTTTCTGAAACTCAATTATAATATATCTGCTCAAGTTTATCTTCCTTTCTTTAACATTAATGCATTATTAATTACTAGGTCACTGTGATCAGCTTTCTTATCTTGCAGAAAGCTGTGCTATTGATATTTATTATACTATTTAGACATTGCAGCACTACACTGGCTATTTATTCATTTACTTCCCCTATTCTGTCAATCATTTCAGTCTTTCTAATGTTCTTCATTAATACATATGAAGCTGGTGTGTTGATATTTTTTACATCATAATTGATAGCAACTACAGAATTGCACTTAATAGTTTGTTCTGATAGTAAAAAAAATTGTTAAATGGCACTGATTAATGCAAAGCATATGCTGTATTTTTCAGGAACTCATGTCACAGAAGAGGAAATAAGGCTAGCTGAAGATAAATTTGAAGATTCCTTTAATTTAGCCTCCATGGGTATGCATAATCTGTTGGAAAATGATGTAAGTTTCAAATTTGACATCATTATACCTTTCATTTGGTTTTCCTGGCAGTACATACTGTTGTGGTTTTATTTTTTCCCACTATTTTACGTTCAGAGATGTAATTAAGTTATTCACTTGAAGTTATTTTTTGTAATAAAAAGATGGTGAAAGCGATACTTTTCACACTGTTGAACATATTTATTTTCCTGATTACTTTTTTTTGGTTTCATTTGAATTGTCTAATTTTTAGAAAACTAAAACAAACATAAGTACAAGTTTGAATTTTCATGAGTATACCATAAATTTTACCCAAAATACATAACTTGCAAGAGGTTTGTAGTACTTTCTAAACAAATTCTATAAGTGATAATAAACACATAGTAAAAAAATTTATACAATGAGCAGGATAGTTGGGGAGATAAATTCATTTGGATCTTATGCCTAAGTTGAAAAACCTTATTTATTTTTAACATTGTAGTATTAGGTTTTCAGATGTAAATATGAGACTGATATGATTTTAGTATATCTGAAAAATGTGGAAAAGGACGATGTGTTTTTGATGAACACAATATGGTTCATTATGTTCAGTACTTGTATACCAGTATTATCTTCAACATTTGATAGTATAATTGAGATAATCATTGACTGGCAATCTTGCAGTTGAGGTACATAGCAAGTTTGGAGTACAGTTAGTTAAAACTTAAAATGCCTAAGCTTATGAAATGAGGTTTTAAGGATTGATTGCATTTTTCAGATATTACAGTTGAATACAGATGTTTTTATTAAATTGTTCCTTGCTAATCTGTACCATATTTCAACTTACAAGTGTGTAAAAATAGCATTTTAGGTTTATTTTTTGCCTGCCCCAAATCACTACCTAAGATGCCTTTTGTTGAATACCAAAATATATAGTTGTATAGAAAGAAGATAATGATATGATAATTCTGTACTTGTATAGGTGGAACAGATTACCCAGCTGGTATCCTTTGCTGAATCTTTGTATGAATATCATTCTCAATGTGCTGAAATTATGCGTGAACTAAATGATAGACTTGTTGAACAGTAAGTTTAGATATGTTGTTTTGTAGTTGCACATTTCACATGTAGAAACAATGTATCTTATTTTAATCTATTTGAATATTAACCCTATCTGGAATGGTGAATATCTTTCAGGTGTCATGTATAAATCTGCTTATCAAATTAAAAAAATGGAAGTATAAATAATACTTTTAACTCTGTTAACTGAGAAATATTTTAAATTTATATTTTGGTATTTTGTAACATTTATTTAGTGTAATCCACAAAGAAAAGTTAAAAATTGGTCACACAATTCTACACAGCTACGAGGTGCCTTGTAATTAAATAATGCATTTATTGATTTTTAGAATTTTTCTGTTAATCCTTTACAATTATGTTCACAAGGATTTGTTTCTCACTCACTTTTCTTCTCTTTTTTCTGATTTTATTAGTAAAGCCTTCCATTTAGATCCTTTTATGACCTCACAATATGTCACATGAACAACAACTAACAAAGCTCAGTTTTGAAAATAGCTATAGATAAAGTCTAACTAACATTGGATAGAGCAGATACAATGAATAAAGTGGTGTGAGAAGTAACATGGTTTTGTGGGTAAGTGACAAGACCTAGTTTCTGCAGAGAACAACAAAATCTAATGGGAAGTTTAGATCACTTAGTAACAAATCATAGATCTAGAAATATTGTTATTGCTTCTTTAGATGATCTTTTCCCTCTTGAAAACGATTTTGTGTTAAATTATTATTTTTTGAAGGCTATAGAAATTTTGATCTAATAACAAAACATCAGCTAAGCCTAGTTAGGTTTAGAGTGTTGTAGGCGATAACATAATATTCCAGTGACTCAGATATGACTGAAATCTTAAATTTTACAATGATGTTCAAAAATAACCATGTTCAAACAATGTAGAGAGAGAAAATAATTTATTATTTGTTAAAGATAAACAATATTTATTAGATACACATTTGTTTTAATCAAGAATATTGTTACCAAAAATAGTTACTGAGAGTGACTTGATGCCATTGTGACAGATCAGGTTGTAGGTCACCAGTAAATCTTTGTTAGTTTTTGCTATGTTTTTACAGTATATACGTGGAAGTGGTAAATACTGCAGTTAGTAAAATAAAGAATATACAAGAGTAGTATATTAATAATAATGAATCAAATTGAAAATATAATTTTTTGATTAACAATAAAATAACTAAATTCTGAGATGAAAGGAAGTATTTATAATTTTTTCTTAAAATAATTCAATAAAATTTTCCAAATTTCACAATGTAAAAAATGGTAGAAGTGAATTAGATAAATTTTTAAAGCCAAAACTTGTACTCTTTAGTAAATTTTTACCAAGATTCATGCAATTTAAGTATTTTTACTTTGAGAAGGAAAACAAATTGAAGGATGTCAATGAAAACCCCCACCCTATTCCAGAAAGCATTAAAGACCATTTTACTTATTATAGGAAGTATCAGTGTTTTGAATATTCAATGCTGTTACCTTAACGCGTAATGATTTAAAAAATTTTGTTATTGAATAACATGTTCAGGATTTCAATTTTAGTACAATCTAATTTATCAATAAGTTCAAAAATTCCTATAATAATAACTGAAAATTATTTTTTGTAAGAGCAGCCAGAACACTGTCCTTTCAAAAGCTCTAACAGTTCCATTTTTAATGTTAAAGTATATTTATTACATAACTGATACTTTCACAAATATTACATATTCAGCTGTCATTTGCTATTGAATAACTAAATCATTTCTTCTTTAGTTCTTTCTTTTATAATATGGCAAAAACATTTTAAGGATCTATAATGTGATAGTAATTGTACTTTTCATTCATTCTTTTAAGTTGTTCATTCTATATGTTGTAAAGAATTCAGATTGAGCAATGTACATATTACATAAAATAACTTACCTGGGAAAAGTTTTATGTAAAGTATTAGTTAGCTTTTCTGTTAGTTTGTCATACATTGAAATTATATTAATATAAACTATTCTTACCACAGCAAAAATTCAGCATTAGCACGTCCTCGTGAGGAATACCAACCCAAGAAATTAGAAGAACTGAACATTCCAGCCTTCCAAGATGATATTTCTCCTGGAGATCTGACTACAACTTACAATGGAGTTCCACTTCCTTACACAACAATCTCAGGTACAGGGGCTGTAATTTGCTAAGCATTGATTTTATTCCTGCTGTGTTTATATTTAAGCCAAGACTTAGTCTGTGTTCACCTTTACTTTCTTATATGAAAGGAAGAAAATATATTTTTTATAAACCTTTATGTGAAGTTATTTTTTAGATGTAATACAGTTGGGAAAAAAACATTATAAGTTAAAAAACAAAAACATTGTTTATTTTGGCACAGTGAAAGATAGGGTTCATTAATTGTTCAGCTGACTAATTTTGGTAACACAATTACCATCATCAGGATTCTGAATACAGCGTTAGCCTACATATAGACTAAGCTAAAACAGCTCCATATAGACTAAGCTTACACTCTATTTACAAACCTTGATGATGGTGACTGTGTTACCAAAACTATTCAGCTGAAACAACTAATAAAAACTATATTTTATTGTAGCACAATGTGCCTGAAGAGAAATTATAAAAACTATATATTTGAATTGTGTGTAACATACTACATAGTGATGTATATTAGTTGTTGCAGTCTTTCTCTTTACGAATATGTTTAATATGTTAAACAATTTGTTTAGTCTTCAGAACAGGCACCAACCCCTAACTTGCAATGTATTTGAGTTAACTTTCAGAACAGAGTATGTATCAAGTTTATTCATCTCTCATTAAGTTCTGTACTGAGATATGATTTTGTGAGGTTTATGTTTAGTTGATTTTTCTTTAGACATAAGTACTTTATTTTCTTGAAACCATAGAAATGTATAGTTTGTTTTTGCTTCAGTAAGTAATCCATAAGTCTTATGAGACTTTTTATGTGTATTTCATTAATTAAAGCTTACATAAAGAGTCACAAGTTTCTAAAATAATCTTTTACACTGTATTCAATTTCAGTTGTCTTATTGGGCCAGGCATGACCTTGTAGTTAGCATGCTTGATTGTGAATCTGAGGATTCATGGTCAATGAACCATTGCACCGTGCTTTTTAAGGCCATGGGTGTGACAGAAGAATGACGGTCAAATTCCATCTTCAGTAAAGCAAGAGTAGCCAAAAATGTGGCAGTGGGTGCTGTTGACTAGCTTGCCATCCTTGTAGTCTATTAGTTCTACTGAGGTTTTGTTTATTAGATTGTTGTAAAGATACATTTTTTTTCATTTTCTGTTTTGGCTTGAAATGTTGATTAATGTGTAATGTCTTCTTTTATTGTGTGGTTTTTATATTATAAAATACAGTTTTACAGTTAAGTTATTCTTTTATTGAAATTTCAAACAAAGTACTACAGGATTGTAAACTCCAACTTTTTGGGAGTTAAACTTGATCTTTATTGTATGATCTGTGAAATAATTCAGGGTTACCATAGCTGAGGAAAATGGATATTTTTTTCAATATCAAGGAATTTATTAAGATGTCAAGAAAATCTTGTTTGTTTTTTTTTAGCTAAAATCAGGAAAAAATGTAGAGGAAAGTTTGGATTTTTAGGTCAATATTTAGAAATATTAATGAAATATTCAGTGGAAGATAGTTTTCATATATCTTGTACAGTATACCTAAATGTCATCACTTGCTTTTTAGCAACTTAGTGTCAAAAAGAGGTAGAAAACTGGTGGGATGTTTGCACCCCTTTTTGAGTACTCTTTCATTTTCAAGACTGAGTCAGCAAAGATTATTAAGTGTCTTTTTAATTGGGACTAAATTATAATTTACTGGTATCTTAAATTTTTAGTTGTATTCTCAGTGTGGTAATCATGTGAGTTACAGCCGTTAATTTTCTCACTGATATACTAAAATAGTTAATTGTATTTTAAATTTAAATTAAAACAAAAAAGGTTGTTGTTTTAATATTATTTTATTTACATTTTTTACACAAATGACCAAAAAGAATTGCTATTAATTGTAACTTGCTTAGTACTGCTGCTTGCCAGGGTTGTTCTTAACCTTCAACTGACACAAATTATAGCTGAGTATTTATTACAGATGATACCAAAATAATTGTATTAATGAAAATGAGTAAACATGCTAAGTTCCACATTTTCACTGTTTGGGTTGGGAAGGAGCATTTTATTCTGTGTGGTGTGAATATTGAATTTTGTAATATATGGGAACACACACTTTTAAGCCATGTAAAAAGACATAAGCACAAAGTAAATGTAGAAATTAGTACAAAAATGTAGCAAGAAGTATGATGTTTGACTGAAATGTGGGACTTTGAACAATGGATCTAAACCACAGGCACAGATTAAGGTAATCAGGCATATAATTCTACCACCATTTAAACCAGGATCTAAACAAGAAACACAAGATGATTAAACACTTCTAGCTTTCTCAAGCTAATTACCAAGTGTTTACTGTAAATATATTATACGCTTTTACAAATTAACTTAGTCATTATCCTTATTCTGCAAGTGGTTAAACTGATTAACTATTTCAGATAATGTTCTCCGACAATTCTATAGCTAGAAAGTTTACTTGTGGATCACAAAATGTTCTTACCTTACACAGCTTGACCTTACTCCCTCTTACTACAAGGAACTTGCTTTGAAACATGGTCAAAGGAAACAGATTAGTTATATTGTTTGATGAGTGCTTTAAGAATTCATATACTACACAAGATCCGATGATGAACTTGACAAATTAAAATTGGGGATTGCTAAACTAAATGTAAAAATCTGTAGATAGACCAAGTACAAACTGGAAATTATATGTTACTTTGCTGTAGGATGGAGAGAATCAGTTCTGATAAATGAAGGCTGTTATATTATGAAGTTGTTTCAAGTAAAGATCCATTGAAAGTGAATGGAAGTTTGTCAGTATTTTGAGGTTAATATGGAAGTTGTTGAATGATATACCTGCAAGAAGACTAAAGAATTATTACTGATAGTTTACAGATTTCCTAAGTTTTGCAGAAAAAACTTGTTCCTGTTGTTTGTTGAGCCATTGAAATTTGTTTAGTTGTACAAAAGTATGTCAGATAAACTTAATCTGCCCAAGAGCAAAATCTGAAACAGCCAATCAAACACTTGTTAGAGTATATGCATGATATTCTTATTATTACAAATGGCATTTATTTGTATCATTTGCCAAAGTCCTTGTGTCTTTTCTAAAGACCATTTAGACTTATGGCAACTTTTGCTCAAAAGCTAGATACATTTATCCACACAAAGCTCTCACTCTTCCTAAATAAGTCTGTACTTGATGGTGCTACTGGAACAACTCAACTTCTGAAGATTGGTGTCCAGGTTACAGTAAGTCTTGTTCCAGCCAAAAAAATAGGTAGATCTTGGATTTACAGTCAAGCAAGTGATGAAAAAAACAAGAGAACACAAATTGGTGAGTGCAATATAGGTTTGGAGTCTGGAAACAAAACCATTATTTTTGTCTCAAAATCTGTCTGAGAAACTTCTTGAAAGATGCTTGCTGAAGTATGCATTGTGAGAGCTGTGATTGCCTTTGAACAAAGATTTGTGAATGAAAATCAAGAAAATGTCAATGTTAAATTTTAAATTATCTTGCAAAAGCTTATACAAAGCAAATGGCTTACATCAGCAAAGTGGGATGGAGTTCTGCAAATATCATGAGAACCAGTTGAAGGACTTTGACTTAAAGAACAATGGGCTGAATACTTTATTCTACAGTCTTCTGGGACAGAAAACAGAATTCAAGAAACTGTGGGATATCATATACTTAAATACTCTTGGGCAGTCATCCATTGAGTGAGATTTATTTGCCAACAGGGACATCTTGTCAAACAATACCAACAAGAAGTCTCAAATATTTCAGAACTGTGTACAATGGTATATTTTTTGACATATATATTTCAAAGAAGACTTAGATTTCTGTAGATACTCTAATTCAAGATACCAGGACCATGACCAGTAAAAGTGACAGAGAAGCTAAATATCATCAGGCCAAATAAAATGAAATTAGAGTAAAGCATTGAGGTATTACTGAAAGATGCAGATAATATTGTAGGCAACCAGAAAAGAACAAGATGGTTCTGTTGGTCAAATCAAATATATTAAAATTGAAGTTAATGAAAACAGAGAAATAGAGAGAGAGAGATTGATGAAGACGAAAAGAATTGTATGGCTGGAGGAAAGTTTAAAATGGGTGTAATACAATGAACACCTTTTTACTTGTGATGTCCAGATAAGTGTACAGTAATGTAACTAACACTTTAATATTTGACTACCGAGCCTGACTGTAACAAATAGAAATCTTTACTTTAAATCTTTAAAAGGGAAGATAGAACAGCTGTGAAGGGAAGCTGTATCTCTGATAAAATCTGTTGAAAATGTACACGTTGTTTTAAATGTTATATTAAAATGATTTTGGTGTGTGAATGCTGAAATAACTTTCCTGTGGAAACCTCATAACACTTAATTATTATAGGAGATATTACTAATATATACAAATTTTGAATCTTAGAAATTTCATTCATTTAGTGATGATATAACTGTAGAATTGCTATTTTGTATTCTTTTGTTAAAACCTATAATTCCTTCTGCACGTTTACAATTACCCTGGTAATACACAGATTAATGTACTGTGGATGCTGTTTGTAAGACATCTTAAAGTTACTGTGCTATAAAAAACCAGTGTTATTGGACCAAGTGTTCTACCTTTCTAGAGTGTGTTAAAAAAAATTAGTAATAAAAAACAATAAATATCTAATTGGTTAAGTTATGCCATTGAAAAGATAGTAAGCAGTTAATGTATTCTGAGAGATTTATGGTTCACTCTCCTGTTTTTATACTCATTGACAGAAAGGGAACTACGTTACTGTAGATGGGTATTTGGATTAAATTCATTGGTTTGTCAAGTTTATTTTATTAGAATTTATTGATAAAAAAGAAATTTTAATATGTTTTATTGTTATGCCAAATGAAAGTCATTGGAAAGTAGTTACAAAGTGTCAGATGTGTCTGGGAAATTTCAGTCAGAATGCATATAATACAATGTCAGTGGCTAGAGTTTTTTTTTGGTTTTTAATAATTCATTATTTTTGTCACAGTAATATGTTTTTGTTGATATATTTTTACTTACGTACTATGGCTTTTAAACAGCTTTTTACCTATCTCTCAGGCTATTGTTAAACTTATGTGTGTAACTATATTTGCTTCCATAACTGCACAGATTAAGTTAAGAAATTTTGAACTTATAAAATCCACTTAATGTGTGTGTGAAACTGGATAAATTTTATTCCTTTTTTGTGTGTATGACCATAAAATACTGTTGTACAGTTGCATTTACAAAGATCTCGTGTAGTATTTAACAAGTAAGCTAAAAGAACATGCAAAAATCGTAAAAGTTCAAGTTACAGCTGTGCCTTTATTCATTTTATAAAAATGATATCTGTCAGATAACTCATTTCCAATAGTTTCAGATTGATGTTTTTTCATATGATCATGCTACCATTAATCTTTCACATTTAGCTAATGTGTTATATATTATACTAAGTTTATTCAATGATGGAAGAAGATATTCCAATCTGTACTTACTGTTTTTGTAAGTTATTGTGGTTTAGTTTTAAGACTGTGTTCTTTGTATTAGCATGTGAAATTTATGTTGTGTTTGTGATGCTGAAGAGGCTGAATGTCTTTTTTTTCCCTTACTAATACTCTGTGCATACCTTTTTATGTGTAAAATATAATGTGGCTTATTTATCCAGTTTGTATACTGCAGTTAGAATGCTGTGTATCGTTATTTGTCTCTTGCTAGCTTCACCAGCTCGATCACCTGCAACCTCTCCCATTAACCCACGTCACCCCGATACTCTGTTTCTAACAGGGCATGGGAGTCCTTCTACTGGTGGTGCCACTTCACCATGTCGTTCGCCCAGCCGATCTCCTAATGGTACTAACGTTCTTGTTTCTTCTGTTTATTGGTGTTAATTTGCAGTTTGAAAATAGTCCAATAAAGCCTGATTATTATTTTCTAAGGCTATGGACATAGCAGTTAAATAATCTTCATTTCTTATAACTCCAAGAAGAAATTAACATAATGTTAAAAATCGTTGTCTGTAAATAGCATGAAAGGTATGATGAATGAAAGATGTTAACAGTAAACCTGAACTTTTTCTATCTATTGTAAGCTGTAGAAAATATTTTTGGATTCTGGTAGTATGTTATTTAATATTGTGTCATATGTATTTGTCATGGATGTTTTGTGTAAAATGTTAATACTGTTTCTGATCTAGATGAACACTGTGCACAAAATCATAATTGATTTTATACTAGGTGAAGAAAAAATCTAATAGTTCATAACAGGTAGATAACTATGTAAAAAAAAAAATTGTATTAAAGATTCTCTATTTTGGTATTCACTCGGAGCTGAAAAAGAATGACAGATTTGCCAAGCAAATCCTTTATAATCCTGCTAGTTGACTTTTTGTTTAAAATTTCTCTCTCATAAACCCCAAGAAAAATAATTGTAAATAATTAAACAAATCATTTATATAAATGTATGCAAACTTCTAGTTTTTTTTTTTTGTGAAACCTATAGAAAAATTTAAATATAATCCTACAAGTCTGTTTTATTTATTTAATTTTTATATTAGCTAAAACAAATGAAAGCATAATGCACATATCCATAATAATCCTGACATTAAAGAATTAATGTATTCACTGCATGCTCCCCACCCCTTTTTATTTTTTGAGTAGACAATATTATTTATCACAGAAATTTTAATGTTTCCTAGGCCAATTTTCCATAAGTGAATTTCTTGTTTGTGGCACTTCTTAAAAAAACAAAAAAACTGTTTTCCACAGTGATTTTCATCACTAACTCAATTAACTAGTGATATTGTTACAACTGAGTAGTGTCCATAAATGGCTCTTATATACACTAGTTCTTTTGAAGTATCCACAATTGACTACCATCTTTTAAGTACAATTAATATTTAACCTTAATTTTAAAATGACTACCCTATAGCAATGGTTATAGTCATGATTTTCAATAATATCTACAATGATACTTGTAATATAACTAATTACTTTAGTTTTATTAGTTTTTATCAAAGTTCTAATATGTCTTATATTTGAAATGCCATATTTACTTCGAAATGCAGTTTTTCTGAGCTACATGTCAGTCGCAGAACTTTGTTTAAAACTTATTTTTATGACAAAGTTTAAAATTCAATGCAGTGAAAATTTTCACTTAATAATATCAACCCCTCTAGTTCAAAGCATTAAACTTTTCTCTATTTCAAAATTGATGATTTTGTTTTTATATAAAGTGATGGCATTTTCTGAATCCCAATTCTCAACATGTTTCCAGTTTAACTTATAACTTTAAATAAAATGTTTTTAGTGAAGTTAATAGAAGACTCAACTAAAGTAGAAAATTTTCAATAAACTATTATCTAATGATTTATCTTAATGTCTTATTAACTTGGCTGGTAGAGAAATTTGCTTTCCTTTTATTAACCCATTTGGTATGGGTAGGTAAAAATTTTACATGTCATTAATTGTTATGATTTTGCTCAAAATTTAATTTATTATCAATGTATACAAATAAACTTGGCATCAAAGTTTAGTTAATAGATCAAATTTTAATATTATATAAGGTTTAATTTCAAAAGGAAATATTTCAAGATATTCTCCATCTCTCTTTGTCTGTGTAGTGTGACAATTGTTTGCTCTGTCTTGCTAATTTTCTATTTTTTTCATCACCTCTGTGATTTTCTGGGTGTAACATGAGTTACTCAGTATAGATATTAGTCAGACAATGCCTAATTTTTATAGTTTTCATTCTTCATTGTGTATAGAGATATAAATAAGAAAGTCAAACCCACTTACCATGCTCTCTCCTGTCATATCCTTTCTCACAAATTGCCAATAAGTGAGTCTCTTTGACATTTGGTATTACACCATTTATAACCAAAAGATAGATGCAATTTTAATTTACTGAATGATGTAAAATGCAACCTTGTTTTCAGTAAAGATTTTATTATTTCACTTAGATTCAAAAGTGCTATTACTGAGTTCAGGGAATTATTTTAAGGTGCTTATGCCTTTGGAAAATAGTTGAATTATAATTGTTATAGGAAATTGTTTTCATCGTGTGTGTTATTATTTTGTGTTTTTAAGTTCATTTTTGAAATAAATAAAAATAACTTGGTGTACTAGTACCACCATTACAAAAATTAGTTACAAGGCTCAAAGAGCAATAACATTGAATAAAAATATACATAAACTGTTAAAAGCCTTAGGTTGTGTAGGATAAACAACTTTAATTTTCTGTTACAATCAGCAGTCATTCTGTAAAGCAATTTAGATTTATTTCATATGTTTTTTGTTGCAGTTACTAGGTTGGTCATATTGATCAAGAATGTGTGGTGTTAAGGTGGAGAAAATAAGAAATAAAATATAAAGTTTTATTGAAACAAAACTTTTGATATTCATTTAGGAGGTTTTAGAGGTTATGCAAATGAAATTTGAAACGAAGATGGAAAAAGTATTGTAATATATATATATATATATATATAATGATGAAAGTTACTTTGCACTCAGGCTATTCCGAGCCTGAGTCAGCCCTTCATTCCATGTATTCACAGATAAAGTTTTAGTAAAACACTTAATTCTTTTTTTTTATTTTAGTGAACAAAATACATGTAATTTTTACTAAAGGCTTGCCAAATTTTGCAAAGATACATTTATTACATTAATAATTATAGTTTGTATAGTATCATCATTAACTGGTGGTTGCAAGGTCAAAGTGACTGAGCCCATATAAAGAGAGTTAAGATAGTAATTTGCTTATAAAACCTTGAAATCATGATATATATATGTTTGTGCACAGTTAACAACAAACACTAGAACCTTCATATCATTAGTTATTCAGGTGTTGTGATTATCATCAGAATTTTGATACAATCATGAATCTTATTTCACTGTCTTCTTTTGTTTGTAAACTATATCATTTTGATCTGTTATTAAAAAACATATCTCTGCATGTGCACCATCATAACTTAATATTTCATCAATCAGGGGTGGTGAAATTTAACACTAATCAAGTTGTTACTGTCTATATGTAAGTTGATGAGATGTTGAAATCTAATTAATTTTATGTAGCTATAGTGGCTGAGTAACTTTGATGTAGCTGAGATGAAATCTGATACTCACTTTAGATATTGCTGGGTTGAAGAGATCTAAGAACAAGTTAACTGGGATGATGAAATCTAGCACTTGTATAGTAAGACTGATGATGCATAATATGTTAATTGAGATCATAAGATCTAAAACTAATCTAGTAAGACTCGTGACACCTAATAATATTAGGTCATCAAGAAATTAATGTCGTGTTTTGGAACACTTTCATTAACCACCCCTCAAAAAACGTACATCACTCATAATAGTTAAATGAACCACCTAAACTTCACGTTAGTGAAGCCTATTTAATGAGTATAGTTTGTTATGCTTTTT